GAATTATACAATGCACGCAATATAATATAATGTTATGTGCACACACTTCCAAGAAGCACTACTCTAAGTCTCTACGAAACGCCAACATCGGGAGTACTGCGACAGCAGATGAGAACATATTTCCGACGTTAAAATAATATCAGGAATTATGTCGATCCGATGGTTTTGCGTGTCGTTCAAACAAAACAGTGAGTAAGTAAATAAATAAATAAATAGGCTTTGCGAATCTCGGTGCAAAAAGTTGAGTAACTGGAGAATAAGATTTAAAAACTAATATAAAGAAAACCGAGTGTCGAAATGGAACGAAATCTCGCCAGATGTTACGGAAACTATTTATATTAACGGCGTCACAGTAAAAGCATACGAAATTCAAATACCTTTAAATTTTTGTCGAATAAACTCTGGGACTCGAGAATCGAAAGTAAATATTTCTGAGACGGTCACGCTCATCCACACCAAAGTATAGTTCCGTTCGTTGTTAAAACGAATCGGCCAGTGCCAATAATTCCTTAAATCTAAAAAACTGTACGGAACAACGACATGGCCTCGTGCTATTATTATAATAGTATACTAGAGTATTATGATGGCTTAAACAATCTTGTCGAGCATGAAAAAATTGTAAAGAATATTCAATAATCGTAGTTCGTACTGTTATTTCCGGATTTGAAGTTAAACGGACAAGACATAAAAATTCAATCTCAAGTTTTCAGCAGACAATACTGATTTTCAAGCTGGTAACATATAACCCATACATTGTATAATTTGATGTATGCAACTCCATTATTTTTTTGTAACTACTAATTAATGTTCGTAAACAATGGAACGTATAAAACTTAAATTACAATCATGTTCAATTCATTGGGAAGTTTCTTAAGTACACTTTGCTATGTCTAATTTTTTAATCGAAAGATAAAATTCTGCGAATTTGTAATTAATCGTCAAACTTAAATTAAAACATTCGCCGAGCTATTTATACGTCCAATTTAAAGTTGTCAATCAATTGTTTTATTGTTGATACAAAATCATTATTTTTAGTTGAAATATTAGTGGTAAATAGCAAACTAAAGAAGATTTAAAATGTAATTTCGATTATAGTTTGGTGCTGTTTTCGTAAACTGTAACGTCATTATTTTTATTAATATTTCGGCTGTAACGGGATTTTTTTTCTTTTTATTATATTTTTTATTTCGTATTTCTGCCCTTGTGGGCATTTTTAGAATAAAATTAATGAAGATTTTTTTTCATGAGATTTGAAAAAAATTTGACAAAGGTACAATACAATATCTCGGTATAATGCGAATTTAATGAATAATTTTGTAAACGAAAGCGGCAACATGAACCATAATCAATATCGATTTATTTACTTCTGCAATAAAAGACATTTTAATGAGCACAGCTTTTTTCTACATAAATTATTCACGAAAAAAAAAAACCATGTCATAGCGATTCCATGATTAATAATATTATTATGTTTTCGCAAATGTATGTTACTTGCACGATGTGCATTTACACGTAGAAAGCCAAACACGCCTTTAGTTGTTTTGTCCAGCCCTTAAGTCATTTAGTTAAATTTTTTTTTTCATTGTTTTTTTCAAAATGAAACTTAATTTTAATAACCAATTCAATGCAATATCTCTAGTTGTGCTCACTAGCTTTGAATTTTGATGGTAACTCAATATTGTTTTGAATAAAATTTTACACCGTAAATTTAAGTAATAATCTGAAAATATCTTTAAATATAAATGTAATTTTAACTTTCTCAACCTGTTTTCTTTTTCTTTCTATGTTGTACAATTGTAAGCTAGTAACCGATGATGATGAAGCCTTACTTAAAAAAAAAAAAATTATAATGTTAAAAAGTTGACCTTTTAAATTTCTTAGCAATTCGTATTGTTTAAAATTGTTGTTTCAAATGATAATATCTATTATATTACCTAAATAGTACATAGGTACCTAATTTTTTTCTCAATGAATAAAATTAATTTTGTTTGTATGTTTTATTTGTATGTTTTTCAACGATGCTCATAAGTCATAACCCATAACCCATGGATCTAAATCGTTTCCAATTAGAAATCTATATTTTTGTGATAGAAAAAAATGATTTGAAATAATAAGAAATTAAAGCAGATAATACTTATTGAGATATGAGTCGACTATGCAGCTTCTGTGCATACAACTCGGAGAGTTTCATGAATGTACTCCATCGACAGTGATTTAAAATTAACAGAAGCAAATATAATGCTTTTGTCATCGATAAAACAAAATATATTTATTTAAATCAATGAAACAAGTTAGTGTGATTTCTGTGAAATGGGAATGTGACTTTATTTGAAATATATTTCACTTAATGCTTAAACTTTAGAATTATAAATACGGATTGCAACAGTAAACACTTAAAATTACGAGGGCTTATACAATTTGTATTTCAATGTTATACCGATGAAAACTTTTATTTCCTTTGTATAGTTTATAGTAATAAAATCTCATATCCAATTAAACCACGGATTCATTAAAACTTATTTAAAGTAATAAAAACATTAAGAATAATTAATAGTTGTGGCTTTTCTTTTATTGTTTGAGCATTTAAATTGATTTGATCCTTACCGGGGTGGCAAATGTATCAAAAACATGTTGAATTCACACGAATATGTTTTCAAAGTTATTTATATAAGTACATAGAATCTTGTATTTTATACAAAATTCTATTCCTTTTGGCAAAAGTTTGTTTTTATAGAATTTTCAAATACATTCTTTATTTATTGGCTTTATATTTGGCTATAGGCCATTCGTTGATTGCAAAGAACATTTTGCTGTTTAATGCAGGCAAATAAAACAAAACAAATGAAAGAGCGAAATTGACTAAGTCAAGAAATATTATTTTAATAAAAAACCATGTCTTTAGGTTTTAATATAATATTTTGTTAATATTATTACTTGTATTTAATATAAACCAAATGATTAATTAGATATTGTTTATTTTTTAAATTTTAATTACCATCTGAAAATAATTTGCAGCTGCTGATGATTAAAATTAATATATTGTATAGGTACAATTGGTACATGTTATTAAAATATATTTTATTACTTTGTTAACAGCTACTTAACAGATTCTCATAAAAAAAGTATCTAAAATCGATTTGGAATTATAATTACTTTTAGTCACTAAATAATAATATATTATTATGTCGTATTGATATTAGGGTTCGTTCTGAATTTGAAATATTTCATTGAAACTATGAAAAATACATTTTTTAATTTTAAATACGTATTCGGTTATTGTTAAATCGATAACGGATGATTTATCCAAGAAGGCTTACGGGTTACCACTTATTGGTCATAAATTGTAGGTAATAGGTAAATGGTATTATATTATCGGTTAATTTAGTACTTATCATTTGGGTGATGATTTATTAATTATTTATTAATATCAGATATTAACCCACTTTTGAAAATGTACTCTTGCTGTAAGTTTACGACCTGCTATAAGCTTTTAGACATTATATGACAATTTATTTATTTTTCACATAGAACGAAATAGTTTAAGAAAATAAATTTAATGACATCTTAAAACCCCAACAGTTATAATATTATGCGCTGAAGTTTGTATCACAATAATATTGGAGTGTTATGAGTGCTGAAAAATACGTGAGTATTCTCACTGTACACGACTTGAACTCTGTTCGATCTCTTATTTTCAGCGTAACCAACTTTCGGCGGAGGGGAAACGGTGTTCGTACAATGTAGACTCGTAGTGGTTATCGGATATACCACGACTATACACATCATACAATAACGCAAATGTTTAACAAGTCGCATTGTGCTCGTCGGATAATATTCGGCAACGGATGGTTTTCGCGGGGTATTCAAGCGGTGGTGAAAAATGTACAATATATATATTGTACTATTATTGTACGCACGCCGGTATGTGTAGGGGGGTGTTAACCGATCTGATCTGGATTCGGCGAAGGGAAAAAATGGAAATGCTTATATATATATATTATATTACACTGTATGAGCTCATCGTATATAATAATATGAGGTATTTCCGCTATTGTCGGTTGTGGCGGCTCGTAGTTGTACACAATAACAAAAGCAGCGGTCCTGTTTGTTCGAACACACACACACACACACACACACACACACACACACACACACACACACTCTCTCGGGCTGATAATATTATGGTAACGTAGCTGTGTAATTTTCTGGTGGCGCACCAGTTGTCGAAAATCGTGAGAATTACCACGACCCAAGGCATATATTTATATATTTGAGTGTATATATTTATACACACACAGTGATTCACCGAGCACGCTCACGCCCACACATTTTGTTGTTTAATTACGAATTTCTTCAAATTCCGATTTTCTCGAGTGCACTCAAGATGTTATTTTTAAATTTTGAAAGTGCTTATGCGGAGCGCCCTGCGTCAATTTTTTCAACTCCGTAATAATTTACAATAAGTTTGTTAAGTCTTCGCATTTTGAAAATAACATGTCCGATCAGAATACGCCATAAATTATGACACAACATAAAAATTTGGCGTTTAATAGTATTTAATTTTAAAATATTAGTATGCTACAAGTTTTCAAAAATCAGACGTTAAGCAAAATAATGATAATTAATAAAAAAAAATTACTGAAATGGGAGACTACGTTGTTCACTCGACGTGTGCTTAATGGATTACCCTGTATAATGTATTTTATTAAATTCAGATTCGTCTTGGACGGACATACGGTTCATTGGTTCTGATCACGTACACAAAACTGTTTTGAACTCGCGTCGGGATTGTGTGTGTGTCTCTCTCTCTCTCTTCCACACTCACACACATACACACACACACACAAACACACACAAAGCCACGACTCGATTTTACTCACTCGGTTGTCCCTGCACTTTGTTCTTTTTAAAAAAAAAAACTCCGCAGTTTAATATTATTGTTATTGTTATTATTATTACTATTATTATTATTATTATTATTATTATTATTATATACTTACTGACTACGTTCAACTGAAACCCTTGGCTGATTTTCGGTTCGGTGCTCACTTGACACTCGTACGTCCCCGAGTCTTTGATCTGCGGCGACGTGATCCTGAGCGTCCACTCGTCCGACCCGTCCGAGTGCAGCGATTGGAAACGCTGGTCGTTCGTGTACGTTAGTATGCCCACGGTCAATATGTGCAGGTCACGTTTCCTGATCCACGACACCTGGAGAGAGAGAGAGAGAGAGAAAAAAATAAAAACACCGCTCCTTCATAAAACGATACAGGTAATATAAAATGCTCTTCACGCGAAAACACATTTGCTAGTTTACGACGATTAAATAATCATCGTAAACAATAATAGATTGAAGTTATTACAAATAGTGAGAAAGTACTCGTACAAGGTGAGTCGCTGTGATGATTCTTGTTTCCCGATATTACAGTGAAAGAAAACTGAACAATACGTTATCCCGATGTATGGCATATATACGTAATGTTGTTAATCTTATAGTGATTATGAATATTATTAATTTTTTTTTTTTAAGCAATTTTAAAACTTATTTTCTCCGTTGATCTGAGAAATGTTTAAACAAAAAAGTTCGAATACCACTATGCAGATGTATACTTTAAAAGTAATTACAAAAGTAGATACTAAAATGTGACCTGTGTTTTTAATATGGATTCACATATTATTGAATCAGTTTTGTGTAATAATTATTCATAAGAATATAATATTTTTAGTTGAGTCAAGTTGAGTAGCACTTCGCAAATAATTGGCTGCTATGCTCGTCTTAACTTATGTATATTCTGGATATAATATTATGCTCATTAATAATGACTTCATTGGTCCTCCGTGGCAGTGTTCAATTTTCGTTGGTTAAAAAGCAGTGCTCCGAATTCATCGTGAACCCATACGGAGTCATGTATAATGAAAAATAAGTTATCGTTTCAAAAATGCAAAACAACCATAAAAATGAATATGAAAATTAGATTTTTTTGTTGCAAAAATATCGTTATAACAATAATAATATGTAATGTTATAGTACCTTTAAATAAATGGGCCAAGAAAACGTGCGTGTAGGTTTTTCGAATAGCGAACCTGCAGCTTACCCATAACATTATCATATTATCATCGTTTATCGGTTGTCGAACTGACCTCTCGCGATGTGATTATACTGTTCCAAGTTCCAACGTTTACCGACGGCGGCAATTGATTGACGCGTTTGATACACGACTCAATTCATCATAATTTTATAAAATTTTCCCCAAGAAATCGCGTGTATGATACAATTTTATAACATTTCCTCCCATTTGAAAATCATCTCTTTCCATACTGCTTCCATGCTTCCGTGCTCCCTATCTTCTTTCCTCTGTTAATATTAAAGTGCCTACAGCACGTCTTGTTCTCCATAAAACTCTTCATCATATTTCTATCTGCTCTACCAAATTATGTGTCCAACAAACCATCGATTAGTGGAACTGCGGAAAAATAGGACCCATTATATTTCATTAATTCATAAGTCCTTTTAGCTTATAGACACTTGTTGTGACAATGCTGACGTGGGCCCTACCCCTGAGATTGTATTAAACAAATAAATAAATTCGTAAATAACCAAACTATAATATTATATTTTACACTTCGTCGTCGAGTCTTACCATCGTGCCACGTGCCGTCATGGACCGTTCATGGCCAGTGGCACTGCGGACGACGTCGTCTAGCGGAAGTTGCAGAGGAAACGCGCAAAGCCTGCGGAAACTCCGTGAAAAATCAGCTGCCACTGTTAAGAGATTACGACCGTCCGACGGCCCATTCGGAATAGCAAATATAATAGTATTATCGGTCCATTTTACCGGAGGAAACTCACGCGTGCAACGCCCTACGTGTGTAACTTTACACAATACACGTCATGTATTATGTTATTGTTGCCTGGGTATTATATATATATATACATGTTTAGGATATGTCTAGAACCGCCCGTCGGAATTTAATGTGAACGGTTTTAATCGAATTTCTTTTTCGCGCACCCCCCCCCCCCCAACGATGTTATTGCTCTGCAGTGTGTGTAAAACAATAAAAATACAAAACGAATAGAAATATGTAACAACAGCAGACGCGTTTGAAGAAGCGCGCACCTCTCTTTATACCACTCTCGAGGCAAATACAAAAAACCAAAAAAAAAAAAAATAGAAGAGAGACCATCGTAATACTTATTGTTGTTGTTGTTATAATATTTATAGCGACGTGTCTTGCCATCAATACATTACGTATTTTTATTGATAATAATTCATAAATATCCCACGACGTATAATAAACCCATTCTTATTTCAGGACAACCTTTAAAGTGGGAAATTAGACGACGCACAATTTGAATTAATCGCCAAAATTGATAGCACAGGACATTCGTACGGCATAATTGAAACGTTTTATTAAAACCTTCACAATACACTTTGATTAATAGCTCGGACAGACGAACGTAAAACGCATTAAAGAACGATTCGACTAATTTATTTTGCCCAATGCCTCTACATCCCACTTCTTCGTGCAATAAATCTGGACTAAACTCGATATAGCTTCGATTAAACAAAAACGTATGACATTGTATACCGTTACGGTCTTATGGATATTGTTTTGATGAGCTAAAACCAGTCAGATTATGAAATTATTGAACATTTGAACTCGGGAAACAAAATATTTCATGCAATTTTCTTGTAACAATAATAAACGCTAGCGTTTCGGTAACAGTAAGTAAATACTTGTATGTGTTGTGTACCTTCGTTATACGAAGCTTCGTATTTTTACTGGTATTACTGGTATAACTAGCGTAGCACCATACATTCGCTACCCATAACTTTGAGTGCTAATAAAATATTAAATTATTTGTTCGATATTTGCTATTTATACGTCAAAACTACCAGGAAAATAATCTGCGTCGTAAAATTAAATTCAAAATAGGGATAGCAGTAGAAAATGTAATTTTCTTAGTATAGCGTGGAATGTTTGCTGATTTTACATCGGTGTTTCGCAATCCATTTTTTTCTCGATAATTGTTAAGTGGAATGACTAATGAGCATTTATAAAGTTTTATGATAACATTAAAATAACATCGGAAATCAAGTTTAGACGGTTAATTTTTTGATGTCTCAGTATAGTTTTTCAAAGCGTAAAAAACCACTTCCAGAGAACTGTAAAACAAGTCAAAGAAAGGTCGATTTAAAAATGCTTTCCTTAAAATTGTTTTTTAAATGCTAAGATTTATTACTAATATTTTATTACTACTGTATTTTCACGGAACAATATCTTGTACTGCAGTGAGAAGAGTGAGAGCAAGACTGGTATTTGAACAACCCTTTTTGACTGGGTGTTTTAAACACAAGTTTGACGGCGCAATGTATAGGCAATTCCGGGGCATTGCTGTATAGAAGAACATTTTAACAATAAAGTGATATAATTAAATTATAATAATTGAATGTTGATATTCTTTAGAATGTATTATTACTATGTATTAGGTATAATACTTATGTATAATATGTGGTCTTAAAAGTCCAGTATCACTTAAACAGTAAGTTTATGAGACTTAGATGCGTAAATATAGTAATATTTAAATATGATTTTTTCAACAGTTATCTATAAGAAAATTCAAATTGAATGCGATATATTTTCTATTATAGATAAGTTTTGGAAAAATAAAACATTACGTTTTAAATTAATTGTAAATAATGTTAATAGTTAAGATAATACACTACTTTCAAAAAACATTGTATTCATGCAATGTATATATTTACATATCGTTTTAATAATCTCATGTTTAGTGATTTGAACAAGGCGAACCCCAATTTTTGGGTAGCTTATTTTATAAGATTTGAATGTTATGCACAGTTTTGCGATGCCAATCAGTTGTCGGATGACAACTGATGTGATCGATTTGCAAAACTAGTTTGGATAAAAGCTGTTTAATAATGTGAATTCAAAATAGTTTAATTCAGTAAATAATGAAAATATGATATTTTTGAATTCCACTGAAGATTCAAGACAAAGCCTAGTTTCATTGAAAATGTATAAGTCTTTATAAGAGTTGAGAAGTAAGTTCAACAGTATCATGAATCTTTAATGTGATAGCTTATGGACTTACGGTAACGGCTGTCAGGTGTGGGTTTTGTTTGGTCCAACGTTTCAGTCATACTACAACGGTTCATAGATTATCTTTAAAGTTGTGTAAAATTCGGACCATGTCATTTCAATGTATAAATCATCAAACATATATAACATTATGACGTTGGTATGTATTGTTTTGTATGCTAAATGTTGGTATGTCTACTTATAAGTATATGCGCATACACATTACATTCTATATAAATAGGTTAATTTGTATGCGAAAACTACAGACAAATGCAAGTTAATGGGTCTTAACATTTATATGCGTGCAACGTGCTTGCAATTGGTTTGACTGTGCTAATATTATTATAAATTTCGTTAAAACACAACATAAACAGTAAACATATTATGAATATATACTTTTTAATACATTAGTCAGCATATTGTACATATGCATTTGAGGGCATTGATAGGTATGAGTCATTTATATTTTGAAGAACCAATACATATTGTATAGGTATATATAATACAAATATATATGTATATTTATATAGATATAAAGATTCTGCATAAAGTATAGGTATGAAATTCGATTATACAAATTAATTAACCATGATAATACCGTATTTTAGTTACAGTACCTACTCATTGTTAACATTTTACATTCATTTAACATACTTTGTTGGGTTTTAAAAAGTTTTTTAATATAGTTGTGCACCGTGAATTTATTTCAAAACAATGCTTTTTAATAGAACTAAGTTCGTTTTATACGAAATAAATTTTTTTATTCTCGCATTCAGGAATATTTACACACGAAGGTTCGAAGTTAAAAACCATTGAATTAAATTTGATCTCATTAATTATGTACACTATGATTTAAATTCGAAAAAGTTTAAATTCATTATCAAGTTTAAAGAGCGCTTACACAGTGTTTAAGTGTTGTAACTTAATATTGTAGACGCACTTAATTTTATTCTTAAAAATGAAACGAGTTGTGCTTTTTATTATTACAAATTAACATAATATTATAGTGTATAGATTTAAGTTCATCCAATCGCGGTGAAAATGTTAAAATTATTCATTGCATATTATTTCATATAATATCGTCGATAGTAAAAAGTCCATGGTGGGAG